AAAAAAAAAAAAAAAAGAAAGCTCCCAGTTTAAAAAGGCTTGGCCAGTTATAGTGGCTCATGCCTGTAATTCTAGCACTCCGGGAGGCCAAGGCGGGTGGACTGTTTGAGCCCAGGAGTTCAAGACCAGCTTGGACAACATAATGAGACCCCACTTCCACAAAAATACAAAACATTAGCCCAGCATTGTGGCGCACATCTATGGTTCCAGCTACTTGGGAGGCTGAGGAGGAAAGATTACCTAAGCCCAGGAGGGGGAGGCTGCAGTGATCCATAATTACACCACAGCACCCCATCCTGGATGACAGTGAGACCATCTCAAAACCAACAAAAAGTAATAGCTCAGCTTAAAAAACAAAACAAAACAAAAAATAAAAATTAAAAAAAAAAACCAGTGTAGCCTAAATACATCTAAGGATGATATTTAGTTCACAGGGGCCGCCAGCTCACCCATTCTGCTTAGGGAGGTTCCTTTCCAGGCTCATGCTGAGGTCACCTTTGAAAATCAGAAATGTATCTGTTCACATTTAGCTTTTACTAGCCCATGGTCAAGGTGAAATAGGGCAAGAACATGGGCAAGTGCCAACCCTGTACTTATGCACCCCACACCAGACACTGCATTTTATTGCCTCTTCTTGGTGTATAGCAAACATATGAGGAGTCCACTCAAACCCATTTATTTGTTTATGACTGAGTCTTGCTTTATTTCAAGGCTGGAGTGCAGTGGCATGATCATGGTTCACTGCAACCTCCGCCTCACAGGTTCAAATGATTCTCATGCCTCGGCCTCCCAAGTACCTAGGACTACTAGCGTGTATGGCCACGCCCAGCTAATTTGTGTATTTTTGGTATAGATGGGGTTTCACCATCTTGGCCAGACTGATCTTGAACTCTTGGTCTCAAATGATCCACCCACCTAGGCCTCCCAAAGTGCTGGAATTACAGGCGTGAGCCACTGTGCCCGGCGTCAGAACTCTTTTCCCAAACTTTAATCAGAAGGGGGTTGTGGCAGCTCTGTGCAACTTGTCCCCTTTCTTGTTTCTTTGCGTAATTCTGTTGAAAAGTGTTAAGTTGTCTATCAGAATGCTATTATTTTCATATTGCTTTTGTCCTGGAGGAGGTGGCCTGCCTGCCAGGTGCCTGGGAAGTTGAAATACCAGGAAGAAGAGCAAAATCCTGGGTTTTGAGGACTGAGAAGGGGACAGAATTTTGATTGTTCTACAGTGACATAAAACTCTCCCATACCCCATGCCACACTGACAGTCAGAGTGGTGGCTCTAACTGGGAGAAGGCCTGCCGAGCCAATGTGTCCTTCAGGACGGACTTTTATGTTTGTGAGGCTGGAGACCTCCCGCTGATGGTGGTCATCACATGTCATGGCTTTCTTCATTCCTACTTTCCCTTTTTGAGGCTGGACGGTATTTGGGGGATGAGAGAAAATCAAGTTTGAAGGTAAATTAAAATATTGGGCACCCACTGGAATGTTCCACATCTGTAAATACGCATACATCTTTGTAAACACGTAGCATCTGTTTTGGGAGGGTCTGTGTTTAAATCCACAGATGGCATTTTGCCAGGGGCCACCTTCAGTTCCCCATTTCTCTCACCCAAGGTGTCCTGCTTTGGAGATCCAGTCCAGGTGCAGCCCATGTGCCCTCATGGGCCCCAAGTTCCCGATCCAACATCTTTCTCACCCACAGGCCTGGCCCTGAAATGGGTTTCCACTGTCTGCTCACACAGGAGGAGTTCCTCTCCTCTGGTTAGTTTTAGGGTAGTCTGGCCTGGGAAGGAATTTGGGACTAGAAAGGATTCCTGGGCTTCGTGGGGACCAAGACTTCCCTCAGGTTGTCATGGAAAATGAGGCTGAGAGCTCTCTCTGCAGCACCCTGGGGGAGGGAATCCGAGGATCCTGCTGGTCCTGGTGGGCGCAGACCCGCAGCCACCCGGGTGCTCAGTGAAGTTCACTCATGGCCATCACTGGTTTCCATGGAAAGGGACTGTGGTCACCGCTGGTCCTGGTCATCATGGGGGAGACCGTGGTCATCCTTGGTACCCGTGGGAAGGGACAGTGGTCATCCCTGGTCCTGGTCCCCATGGAAGGGACTGCAGGCACTGCTGGTCCTGGTCACCACGGAAGGGACCATGGCCATTCCTGGTCCTGGTCACTATGGGAAGGGACAGTGGTCATTCCTGGTCCTGCTCCCCGTGGGAAAGGACTGTGGTCACCGCTGGTCCTGGTCCCCGTGGGAAGGGACTGTGGTCACCCCTTATCCTGGTCCAGGTGGGAGCGGACCAAGGCTACCCTGGTGATGGACCCCACGGGGCACACCCGCGATACCCCGCACCCAGAGCTCGAGCCGCCAGAGGCCCCCGGTTCCCGTCCCCCTCCCCGTCTGGCGCCGGAACCTGCAAGTTCCGGCGCGGCCTCGGGGAGGGGCGGGCGCGGCCTCCGGGAGGGGCGGGCGGGACTGACCTAGCCGCCCGGCTCCCCTGCCATCCGCGTCTGTGCCGTCCCTGGGGCCTGGTCAATGTCCCGGGCGGCGGCGGCATGCGGCTCCTGTTCCTGGCGGTGCTGCGGCCGCACACGGGGAACGCGGTCACGGCCCAGCGCGTCCGGTAGGTGCGGGCGCAGGGGCCTGCGAAGCCAGGGGCGGGGGGCGGGGAAGCTGGGCGCCCTGCCAGGCCCCCTCCAGCAGCGCCGGGGCCTCCCCGAGCCGCGCGCGCAAACGGACGGGCCGGTGCCTCCCGCCGGGCGCGCGTGTCCCGGGGTCTCGGAGCGGCCGGCGCGGCGGCCTCGCACTTCCCGGTGGAGACCGAGCAGGTGCACGGGCTCGGGGTAGCCCGCGGAGGACCCGGGAAGGCCTCGCCGCAGACGCGGGAGGGGGCGGGATCCGCAGGGATGCGGAGCGGGGCTGGCGGAGCTGCGGGCGGGGACGCGTTTCCAGGCCGGGGCGGCGGTGCCAGCCCTGCCCTCGCGGTTTGGGCTCGGCTGTGTGCCGGCGTCCGGGGTCCTGCCCGGCGAAGTCCCTGCCCCTCCTCCCCTCCACCCTCTCTATTCTATTCCCGTCTTCCTGGCTGGTCAGCTCCCTCACACTCATCCTTTTCTGCCATTATCTTGCGTTGTTTATTTGCTTGTTGATGTGTGTTCTGGTCACTGGAACGCAAGCCCGGGGGCCCGGGGAGGGAGCTGCCGCGTTAATCCTGCCGCCTCCCGCCTGCCCGGGGCGCTCGGCCTGTGTTAGCCGGATAAACACCTTCGGGAGGCGAAGCCTGGGGAGTGCCAGGATTAGAGTCCGCAGCTCTACAGAAGCCGCGCGCGCCTGTGTGTGTGTGTGTGTGTGTGTGTGTGTA